ATATAACGTAGTGTATTAAGAGAGACACTAGCCTATTACTAGTAAGACGATTAGTTATTAGAATATATAAGGAAAATTTTATAAATTAGTTTATAATAACAAGTATTAAATTATATAGTTTACTTACTACGTTATAAGAGTAAGGTAGCTACGTAATAAAGTTAAGTAAGATCTCTTACTAAGGTTTAGAAGGAATAAAGAGTAAGGCTAACTTACTATATAGTAGATAAGTCCTTACCTTTGTTCTTTAATAGATAGTATAAGTAGAAACGTAATAGTAGACGTCTTTATTAAGACTTAGCTAAAAGAAGGATTAAGAAAGCCTTTTCTTTGTTTTACTAACTCTTTAGTACCTTATAGTAAGTACGTTATAAAAAAGCTTTAGTAACTCCTTATATAAGCCTAGATTATTAGGTATATATATACGTTTATAATACTATAGTAGTATATTATCCTTAAATGTCTATAAAGACCTAGTAGTACCTTAGCTACTTTACTACTTTTTCTACTCTTTATTAGTAATAAAGGCGTCCTTCTACTATATATTACAAAGGGCTTCTAATAGTAATAGTAGTAACGTTAACGTTACTATTACCTAGCTATTACTCTTACTAGCCTAACTCTAAGTAAAGTTCTTTACTAGTATAAGAGTGTTTGATTTACGACTTAATACTCTAGTAATAAAAGCGTTAGGTCCCTAAGACTTACGATCGCCTTAGTCTACTAGCTAGCGTAAGTCTAGCCTCTTACGCTAGAGCGATTCTACTAAGACAGTATACGTTAAAAAGGTCGCTAGACCTTTAAAAAGAATAAAAGGAATTAAAGAAATAAAAGGAATTAAAAGAATAAAAAGAATAAAAGCTTTGTTTTAAACAAGCCTTATAGTAAGACTAATAGCTTTTAAGGTAACTACGTTTACTTAGAATTTGTTAAGGAAAGTTACTAAAAGAGCTTGTTACGCCTCTAATTACTTATTAGGATCTTATAAGTCAGGCTATTATAATAACTTATTAGTAAGGTTTTAAGTACTCTTCTTATATTTAATCTTAAAGTTAAAGACAGAAAGTTCTTTTAGCTATCTAGCTTACTACTATAACAACTTTAGCTTTATAAAGAGGTAATAGTAGTTTAGGTAATCTATTAAAACTAATACTAAACTTTATATATATACTAAGTACGGCCTTTATAACCTAAAAGCCTTAATAATAGCTATTAACTTAGTGTTAAAGGTATTATAGTATAGCTCTAGCCCTTTTAGCTTTCTAGAAATAAATGTAATAAGGTACTAGTAGCCTTTCTATAGCTATAAAAGGATAGTACTAATAGTATAAGTAGATATATTTGTTTTTATATATATAAGTAGTTTAAGGTCGTAGTAACGTAAGAAAGAGGCCTTTATAAAGACTAGTCGTAGCTTATAAAAGGCTTTTAAGGCTTTAGAACTTAGTGTAATAGTACTAGTAGCGTTACCTTAAAGGAGATTTGTTAGTAGTATAGTAATCTTTAAATAATTCTTAATAAAGCGCTTATAGAACCTAGTAAACCTTAGAAAGACACAAATGTCTTTTATAGTTATAAGGATAAGCTATTCTTAGATTATAAAGACACGCTTAGGTTTAATACAAACTCTCTACAAGTTAATAACATATCTTAAGAAACCTACTTACTTTATATTAAACTTATACTTTAAGAGGTTAGTATAGAGGTTATATTATTAGAGACGTTTAAAGACGTAGTAAACATACTATATATACTCTTCTTTATTTATAAAGTAGATAAGGATATTATTAAGATATATAATATAAATATTATTAATAAGATTCTCTAGTACTTTATTAATAAAGGACTAGAAGGTCGCTAGTACGTTTACTAGCCTAAAGGGTATAACACAGTATTTAAAGTAGCTATATTAGTACTAGAAAGCTGTTTTCTACTTATTACTAGCCTTAATACAAACTTAATAGTACGCTTTACGTAAGTTAAGCTTAGTATAAACATAGGCTTACGATAGCTAATTAAGGATCTTCTTAATTAATAGAATAAGGGCTTAGTTCTTTTTAGTTATACTATTTAACGTCTAGTAGTTAACGTAAAGTCGTAGCTTCTTTTCTTTCTTTAGAACAAATAGTATTAGAGTACTAGTAAGGCTCTTACTTAGATAGATCTATCCTTTTACTAGGGCGTCGTCTAAATATTTGTATAAGACACCTAGCTTAACCTTTATAAGTAAGTAGATTTAGCTATATAATAGTACTATATCTTCTTTAAGGTCTATTATATAAGTAAGGCTATTAATTATAGGTAGTAATCTAGCCCCTTTCTTAGAGAAGACGTCTACAAATTATTAGTACTTACTAAGTAAGGTCGCTATAGCCTTACTATCTTCTTATAGTTCCTCTTATAGTCTCTTCTTACTTAGGGATTCTAGGTTAACTATAATTAGTTATACTATTACTATAATTACAAATTAAGCTTTTTTTATTACCTTTTTAATTTCTTTTTTTATAATATATGGCCTAACTATTAAAGATAATATAAGGTATATAAACGTCTAGGTCTTTTATAAAACGATTAAGTCTATAGCCTTTAGCTATAAGAATCTAAGTATAATATCTAAGTCTCTAATGTTAGTAATAACAAATCTACCTTAATGTCGCCTTACTATTAAGTAGTTATCTTAGGCCTTAATAAACAGATCGTATAACCTAAAGCTTGTCGTTATTTTCTAGAATAGTAAGGACACTATAATATAATTATTAAGTTACTATAGTACCTCTTGTCCTAATAGTTATAAGTAGATAAGGTTAACTTCTACTCTTAAGTCTAGTAAGGCTAGTATAGCTACCTAGCTACTTTTAATACGTATCTTTACTTAAATACTTATTAAGGGTCGTCTCTCTTCTTATTGTTTAGGCGTAACGTAGTAGGCTACTAGTGTAGTATTAGTGCCTAAAGTACTAGCCTTATTAAGGTACTAAGTATAAGTATACTTAGATTAACTATATATAGAGTATTTATATAGTAAGTATAAATTTACTTAATAACTAGGCTACTAACATTAGTAGTAGTTACTTTATACCTTACTTACTAAAGGGGTTTTTATAATACTAAGAAAGTCTTCTTACGTATTTAAAGTTTAGTTACTAGATACTCTTTATGTGTTTACTAGTATAGATAAGGTCTTTAGATTATAAGAAGAGCTTTTCTTAGTATAGTATAGTATTAAAGAGGCTTTATAAGAGCCTTCTTATTACCTTGTCTAAATAAGAGTTTCTCTTCTTAATACTACTACCTTAACTACCTTAAAGGTATCTAAGACCTTACTACTTACTATATAGGCCCTTAACTTAGGCTTTAAATAATCGATAAAAAGGTAGATACAGAACATCTCTAAGAAGGTATAGCTAAGTTTAATAACTAAAGAGTTATACTATTAAAGGAAATTCCTAAAGGTCTTGTTTTAGTTTTAAGTTAACATTTAGAGTTTTAATACTACTTTAAGAGAGTAAGTACCTTTATCTATAATACTATAAAGGAGCTACGCCTTTATTTCTTCTTAAGTTACATTAAGAACTAATCTACCTTTTTCTAAGAAAATAAAAGACTTCTAGCGCTCTTTAATATAATCCTTTAGTACTACTATTACGGCGCTAACGCGTTTAGTATCTATTAGATAACTCTTTAGATAAGTGTTAAACTCTGTTTCTTAGTTAAATAAGAAGGTTATAATACTAGTATATGTCTTGTTTTTTAGTAGAATAAAAGAGGTATTATAATAGCTGTTACACAGGATATTTGATCTATCGTCGTATTATAGGAACTAATGAATTAAATTAACTAAGTAAAGTAATTATATAAAGTACCTTTATAGCTATAGTAAACAACTAGGAATTTTAGCGGGTTGCTAACCCTGATTAGGTTAGACTAGAGTCCTAGTCCCGTGACTAATAACCTTACGTAATAGGCTAGTAGTTTCTTATAACACACCCTTAAATCTACGCCTATAACGTCCTATCTATTTATCTAGCCTAAATTCTATACTGCCTACTGTTCTACTAAGTAAGGTGCTAAAAGAGAAAATAGAAATAGTAGACTAGTAAGATTCTGCCGCTACTATTACTAAAAAAGGAAATAAAAATAGTAAACTAGTAAGTTTTCTGTTGTCTTATTACTGTAAAGGGAAATAGAAATAGTAAACTAGTAGGATTCTGCCGTTTTTATACTAAAAAAGGAAATAGAAACAAGGAATCGTCCTAATTAAGTAATTAGAACACCTATAGTATACGTATTTAATAGCCTTAAGAGGTGACTAGAATAGCTATAGCGTACAGGTTTAATAGCTTTAAGAACTTAGCGTGTTTTAGTCCTTTTAGAGCTTTAGTAAGCCTATCTACTACTATATCCTTTATACACTTAAACTAAACCTCTATCTTGCCTAGCGCGACTTACTCTTAAATATAGTAGTACTACACGTTAATATACTTAGTTCTCTAGTAGATAACTAGGTTATCTGTTAGCGCTAAAGATCCTTAGTTATTACTATATATTTAGATCGTTTTAGTGTCTTTAGAGTTAATACCTAACTCGTAGAATAGCTACCTTAGCTAGGCGGCCTCCCTTATAGCGTTAAAGAGCCTGTAGTACTCTGTTTCTATAAAGAAGAGTACTACTACTTATAGGCGCTTTAATCTAAAGGATATCGTACTACTATAGTAGTTAAATAAATACCTAATAGTTAATCTTTGTATTTCTATATAACTAGCGTAATCTAAGTCGCTATATCTATATAACCCTTTTAACACTCCTTTACCTATCCTATATATAATTCCTAAGTTAGGTATACCTTATAAGTAACGTAAAGCGTGTTTTATAGCGCTTATATAGTTAGTAAAAGGATTTATAAGATAGCGTAATAACATAGACATTAAATAGTATAGATCCGGGCGTGTTTACGTTAACAGGTATATAAGAGAGCTAACGATCTACTAATATAGTTTAATCTAATCTACTATAGTGTGTTCTAGGTTTAAAACTATAAGCTTTACGTAAGCTAGATCTAATAACGTCTTAGAGGCTTTGTAATCACTTATCCTAAAGTGTTTAAGTACCTTATTAATGTAAGCGTCTTGTACAAGAGATATAGTTCTGTTTTCTTTATCTCTAACGATCCTAACACTTATAAAGTAGTAGTAAAGACCTAGATCCTTTATCTTAAAAACGTTCTATAAGACTACTTTTAGATTAGCTAGTTCCTTTTTCTTTAGGCCGACTAGTAGAAAGTCGTCTATATAAGTTATAACAATTAATCTACTCTTAGGGTATTAGTATATGTAATCGTTAGCTATTAAGGGCTTAAAACCTAGCTTAATAAGCACTTAGCGTAGCTTTAGCTACTATAACTATAGAGCCTACTTTAGACTATATAAGGCCTTATTAAGTTTGTAGACATAGGTATTACCCTTACTAGACCTAGTTAGAAGTTTAACGTATATATCCTTATTAGCTTCTTTGTTTAGAAACGTTATAACGTAGTCTATTTGTTCTACTTCTTAATCCTCTTTAGCTACTAGGGCTAGGATTACCTTCTAAGTCATACTTTTAGCTACGCTAGCGTAAGTTTAATTGTAATCGCGTCTATAACACTACTTGTATCCCTTAACTACCTAGCGTACCTTATAACAGATTATAGAGCTATTAACACTAGTTTTCTTCTTAAACACCTACTTACTACCTAGAACCTTAGTTCCTTTTTAAAGGCTTAATCTCTTAACTAGAGTCTATATATTATTCTTTACAAGTAAGTTAAGCTTGTTCTAAATAGCCTCTTTCTACTACTTAGATTTAGTACTACTAACAGCCTTCTTATATATAATTAGAACGTTCTCTAGATCGTCTTTAACTATAGTCTAGTAAGTAGCGTAGAACGCTATAGCTATAGCTAAATAAGCTAATTACTATACCCCTTACTTAGTATTATCTCTTATATCCTTCTCTCTAGTTATATAACGTAATTAGGATCGAGTTACTTAAGTAGATTTAAGGTTAATAGAACGTATAAAGTCTTAAGCTTAAGCTAGAGCTTAAGCTACTGTCTTTAGCTTATTCTTTAAGCCTTTTAGGCGCCCTTAGCCGCGCTTAATAGCTACTAAATCAGGTAAGGCAGTAGTCGACTAATCTTAGATCTATTCTATAGTAGAGTTAGTATTAGCTAGTAGATTAACATTAGTAGTAGTAAGGGGCGGTTTCTTAGCTATTTTAGCTACTTTAGCTAGATCTTAATCTTTAGCTAGCTCTTAATCTTTAGCTTTATCTACGCCTTTAGTGTTTGTTAAATCTATAAGTAGATTAGTTAGTAGGCGCGGTTTAGTTAGTAGTAACTATATCTTATTATCTAACACTTCTAATACAAAACCTCTTTTGTTAAATCTTACGTTTAATAATCTAACGATCTTATAAGCTCTTAAGGGCACGTAATAGCGGTATATTTAGTAGCCTTTAAAACTAAGAAGGATCCCCTTTTTAGCGCGCTTATTAAACTTTCTTAACTTAACCTGTCTTTAATCTAGGATATAAATATATACCTTATAGCTAAGTACCTGTAGGTAGGCTATAGACAGCTTGTTGTCTTGATTTAGGTATAGCTAATCTATAAAGGCTTAATATAAGGTTTTGCCCTTAATAGCTAACGTAGCTATTCTGTTAATAATATAAATTGTCTTTTCTAGTAACTCTAGCCATAGCTTTTTAAGGACGTTCTAGTTAATTATAGTAGATCGTAGCTGTCTAGCTATAATCTTGTTTATAATCTTAGATATACCTAGTTACTTAAGAGTATATAGTGTAGTCTCTTTAACTTAAATCCCCTTTACGTTATAGACGCTAGTTAACGTAATACTACTATATTCGTTACTACTGTTAACTATTAATATAAGGATCTTAAAGGAGGCAAACTAACGCTCTATTATGTTAATAAAGCTAAAGATCTTATTATAAGCCTCTCTTTTCTTCTTATAAGGGTAGCCTTATCTAGTACAAGTTACTATATCTATTATAATAGTAGTGTAGCGCTTACTACAGAATCTAATTAAGATAACCTCTACTACGTCTATACTTACCTCTTAGAGTATAACAGTAGGCCGGTATTTAATAGAGCGTCTAACTAAGTGTAGTAGCTTAGACAGCTTATAAGGCTTATATAGAACTATAACGCTAAGATCTGTATCTATAGGCTTATCTGTAATCTGTATACTAGTAGTGATTTCTACGGTCTTTTAGACGTTATTAAAGCCTAGGTACCCTAATCTCTTATACTATAGTTTAATACCTAGTTTGCCTTATTAAAGAGTAGCTAGTAGTACTATAATATAGTAGCTAGGCGTATCTAACTATAGATATACCCTTATATCGTTAACCTTATAGAGTATAAGCATCTTCTCTTCTTTGTCTAGAAGGGCTCTCTTTATAATAGATCTACTATAGTATAATAGCTTAACACTTAATAAGAGATTAATAAGAAAGGTTAAGATAAATAAAACTCTCTCTAGCTATAGTTTACAATACTAATCGCTCTCTACCTTAGCCTTTAGAACGATATTACTATAACCCTCTAGTTAGATTAACCTAGCGCCTGTTAGAACAGGTTATAACTACTTAGTTACTTTAAAGCTATAGAAGATCGACTTATTATTATATATGTAGTAAGTTGCCCTTATATCTAGGCACTAGTTCCCCTTTTAAAACTCTTTTTAAGTAGCTAATCTAAGCGCTACCTTTAACGCCTTTAGGCCTAGTACACTATTAATCTACGGCTACTAATTACCTACTATATAGAGTAATATAGCGCTCTTTAAAGAGTCCTTTTAGTCCTTCTTTAGACGCCTCTCTAAGAACGTAGTCTAATAGTCGTCTTTATCCTTTATAACATAAAGCTTACTATAGTAGTAGCACTACTTCTTCTTAAGCTTCTTCTTATCCTTATCCTTACCCTTACCCTTCTCTTTATCCTTGTTATCTAGCTTACTACTATATAGTAATACTAATAATAGTACTAATCCGCTATCCTTTGCCTAAGCTTTGTCTCTAATCTCTATAATTAACGTGTTAAGTAATAAGGTACTCTTTTTACTACTCTTCTACAGGTTTTAAAGGGATTAGTGTCTCTTAGCCTATTAAGAGAAGGCTTTTGTAAGTCGATTAATAAAGATAATAGCGTACAGGTAGTCGCTCTTAGGCGCTACATCTAGTTAAGTAGCTTGTTTAAGTCGAGTTATAAAGGCGTTAATAAACTTCTCTATATTATTATAATCCTTATATCTAAGTAACTAGAACTTATCTGCCGCTTAGTACTATTAAGTAAACCCTTTGCCCTTATAGTAATTAGCTAGCTTAGTCTACATAGCCTTTACTAAGTCTACTTTAGCTATAAGATTAAGTATAAGAACTAACAAGATGTTCTCCTTAATAACCTAGCGCGTTACTATATTACTAGCTCTTTATTTACTATATTGTTCTTATTTCTCTTTTATAGCTTTAGCGTTACTGTACTTAACAACCTTTAGAATAGAGTAGTTCTTAGATATGTATCTGTTAAGTCTATTAGCTTCTAATATGTTAAATATATTAGATTTCTAGGTATAGTAGTTACTCTTACTCTATAGCCTCTTACTACTCGCAAGTATAGTTAAGTTAGACATCATAATTAGTCTAGGGTTCTATAACAGCTATTATCCTCTAGGCTCTGTAATCTAGTCTAGAGCTTAGTTTAATCTTTAGGCGTACTATAATTAAAAACAGGCCTTACTGTAAATCTTAATAGATTAATAGATTAAACAATTCGAATTTAAATTTAGTATTAGAGGAGATCAAATAGTATTACTATTATGTTATATAGGATATTTAATCTATCGTCGTATTATAAGAACTAATAAATTAAATTAACTAAGTAGAGTAATTATACAAAGTGCCTTTATAGCTATAGTAAACAACTAGGAATTTTAGCGGGTTACTAACCCTGATTAGGTTAGACTAGAGTCCTAGTCCCGTGACTAATAACCTTACGTAATAGGCCAGTAGTTTCTTACAACAATAGCTCTTTCTTGTTTCTTTAATATAAGTTTACTAGAAAGGCTGTTCTACTTTAGAAGGGTTATTAAATTCGTATAGGTTTATTAAGAGAGCCTCTCTTTTCTTAAGCGCTATAAGGTAGTCTTACTTTTGCTTAAGGTACTACTCTACCTTTACTTAGGCAATCTTCTTATTTAACTTAGTCTTACTTAAGAAAAGGATTTTTATTAACATTTAGGGTATTATACTAGGTTTACTACTATCTACTTATAAAGAGGTATTCTAAAGAGTTACTTAAGAAGAGGCCTACGTCTTATTAAGGTTTATTTGTTATGTCTACGTTATTACTTCTTACTCTAATAGTCTATAACCTTTTAGTAAAGGTAAGAGATTAGAATGTTAGGTATATTTTTATAGAGTAAAAGAGGTAAGAGTTAATAGATAGTTATAGTATATTTAAAGGTATATTACTACTTTAACTATAGACTAATCTCTAAACCCTCTTTCTTTTCCTTCTCTACTCTTTATTCTTATACTCCTTAATGCCTACTATTACCTTAGTTATAGTACGTAGTTACCTTATACTTAATTTCTAAGCTATTATAGTCTTATGTATTAGTACACCTAACACTAATCGTCTTACTAGCAACAGGCTAGCGTCTCTCTTAATACACTACGTTATACGATAATTTAGAATTCTAGATAGTATTGTCTTAGACTAAGGCTCTTTCTTTATAAGTAAATTCTAGAGTAGTTTTTACTAGTACCTAGTAACATTATAGCGACTTAGTACTACTTATTACTTATAAACAGACAGGCAGACAGAATAGTAGAACTAAGCTATTAAGTATTACCTTTAAACTTACTATAGCTTTATATAAGATAACTAAGTAACTAAGCTAGATCTTACTAAATTTGTATATAATACCTTATAGTACTTTATAATAAACGTAACACTATTATACGTACTATATAAGTACTAGCTATAAGGTCTTAAGGACATATCTCTAAACTAGTTAAAGCTAGTAAAGGCGCTAGTAGCTAATATACAAGTAGAGTAGCTATAAAGTAGCTATAAAGAAATTATTATATTTCTTTAGTACTCTTAAAAATAGTATAAGAAATAGTATAACTAGAACTAGAAAAAGATTTTATTTAAAAAGAAAGACTAAGTACTCTTATTAATAAAACACTTAAGGTAACGTTAACTCTCTAAGAAATTTATAAATAAGTATATTAGCCCTTACTAAATTAAAGACGTTATTAAGGACTATAGACTTACTTATAGACTACGTCTCTTTTTGTTAGTATAACTATATCTGAAAAGATAGTAATAAAGATAAATAATAGACGACTAAAGGTTAAAGTGTCTTTAATAAGTAAGATCATACTTTAGATTTTTTTTCTTTTTTCTTTTTTTAAGATATATAATAATAAAGTTAGTAAAGCTTTAAAAGGTATTTACTAGTAAAAGAGTAGTTTAGTATTTTTTTTAAGATACTTAGGTTTTTAAGTTTTTATATAATAAATATAAAAGTTATACTTACGTTACTATAACTATACTAGTAATATTATACCTTTCTAACGATTATCTTAATGTATTTGTTTATATTTATATAAAAGTAGGCTATTATTAAGGTTTTATTATAGTTTTTATAAGTTTTCTAAATTGTTATACCTTTTTTATTTTATAAGATAAAGTCTATTTTTTTATAGGCCTTTATAGTTAAGAATAGCTTTTACTTTAAATGTTTCTTTATCTAAGACTAAGATATCTATTAGGCTTATAAGGACTTTACCTTTTTACGCCTTATAAGGTTCTAGGCTTATAATTAAAAAGGTATACTATTATTTTCTTTATTATTATCTTTTATAGTATCTACTACTACTTTATCCTTTACTTTCTTACTTTCTTTAGATCTTTATAATTTGTATACGTACTACTTTTAAGTTAGTAGTAACTTAGTATTAGAGTAAAGGATACTTATAACTTTCTTAAAATAAGACACGTACTTTTTAAAGATAGTAATATAGTCTTACTATACTTAGATTACTTCTTTTATAAGCTAATTATAATAGTCTATCTCTATATTTATAGTCGTAACAAACTTATTATAAAGCTTTAACTAATAAGTAATTTTTACTAGATAACCTAACTTTTACTTTACGTACTCTTTCTTATTTACTTTATTACTATAAAGCCTTTTTTCTACTAATATTATAGTCTAAGACTTTAAATGTTAAAGGCTCTTCTTTACTAAAGTTTAGGTAGCCTAAATTATAGCCTATTTATATTAGCTTTAACTTTACTATAAATAATAGACTACTTTACCTTATCCTTTTTTATAATTACTTTTTAAAGTTTAATTCCTTTAGCTTAAAGAGTTAAAACAACCTAGTAACGTTAACAAAGCTATAACATAAGAGTATTACCTTAAAAAGGGTTATACTTATAAAAATATACTTCTTTTTTAGATTTTTATAATAGACGTACTTTATTAACGTAGCTACTATACTATTAGGCCGTTACTCTTTACTAAAAAAGAATACTTATAGTCGTTATCCTTATACTTTAGTAAGGTACTTTATAGGTCTTATAAAGCTATTTAGTTTAAGTATTACTTATAAGCTACTAAACGCTTTGTTAGTACTATATTATCGTTAATAGTTTAATAAAAGTATATTAGAAGTTTGTTAAAAGAGTTATAAGAAAGAGAAGGTATAGTAGCGTTATATTTATATAAGGTAAAAAGAAGAAAAAGAGGTAATAAACTAATAAAAACAAGTCTTTATATACTTCTTAGTACTATAAGAGATAGACTAAGTAAAAGAGGATAAAGAAGGTATTTTTCTATATTTACTTAAAAAATACGATTATAAGTAATATAGTTTAATCCTTATAGCTACCTACTATTAGTATACTATTAACCTTCTAGTAAGAGGTAATAAAGGATTTCTAAAAGTAGTAAAAGAGTAAGGAATACTAGCGTGCCTAGGTAATATAGTTTATATTATATATAAAGGGTCTTACGACTATCTAGCGACTTACTAGTACTTTACTATAATGTGTCTTTACTTAAAGTAAATATAAGAGGTATACTAGATAGAGATCTAAAAGTACGATATATAATAAAAATCTTATAGTTTAGCTATACGCCTTTACTATACTATAAAGTTACTACTATTCTCTTTTTCTTAATACTACTAGTTATATAGTTATATAGTTATATAGTTATATATTTACTTACTAATTTATTCTTATATATTTATTCTTGTTTCTAAAGAGGTATTAGCCTGTCCTAGCCTCTCTATAATCTAACGGCTACTTATAAGCTTCTAAAGACAGAAGCTAAAAAGAGAAGATACTATATTAAGTACGCTAATACGTAAGACTATAATAGCTTAGAAATTAAGTATAAGGTAACTATGTACTACGACTAAGGTAATAGTAGGCATTAAGAAGTATAAGAATAGAGAGTAGAGAGAGGAAAGAAAGAGAGGTTTAGAGATTAGTCTATAGTTAAAGTAGTGATATACCTTTAAATATACTACGACTATTTATTAACTCTTACCTCTTCTACTCTATAGAAATACACCTAACACCTTAACAGGTAGAGGATAAGAGAGAACACTTAGTTAAGCCTTATTTAGTACCTTAGGTTAGTACTAAAACTTAGATTCCCTTACTTACTATACCTTTACTTACTTTATAGGCTATACTTAATGTTAAACTAAACGAATTAGACAAATCCTATAAACAAATAGATCTAATAAATTAAACAGATCTACTTATAAACATACTAAACATACTAGGATCTATATTAAATAAACTTACTACTCTAAACGTACTAAACGTACTAATTAGATTAAATAGATTAACAGAATTAAGTTAATTAGTAAAGCTAATAGCTAAAAACAATAAATCTAAGCCCTTAGTACGATCTCTTAAGCCTTACGATCTTTTTAATCTACTTGTTTTTAACAAACCTAACAAATTAGACGTAGAGATAAAAGACGCGCTACTAATATAGCTAGATCTTATCTTACTATCTAATAACGTTATAATTTAACAAAAGAGGCTATAAAGAAGGCCTAGATCTAAAGGTATTAGGCGTAGTAACATTATTAAAGGCCTTAAGAAGTAACGTTAAAACTATAAACACGCTTATATAGTATAATAAGAGAGGATTAACGAATATAGTAGGTTTTATTTAGCCTTTTAACTAGGTACTAAATACAAGAAACAAAGACTTTATTAAACTAATCTTTTAGCGTTACCTAGCTACTAAAGAGAGCTTTAAAACTACCCTTATAGTACTAAGTTTAGGATTATAGTAAAGAAAGAGTATATAGATCTAAAGAGGTAGAGAACCTTTAAACTAGTCTACTATTTAACTATTAAGAGATATATAATCCTTATAAAGTAAGTGTTTATATATAAATTTAATACTAACGGCTTTCTAGCTAAATTTAAGGCTAGGCTTATAGTTAAAGACGATCTATAGCGCCTTAACGGCTATAATAATTACGCTACTACCCTTACGTTAAGAGTATTTAGGGCTCTAATAGCTATAGCGGCCTAGTTTAATCTTAATATCTATTAATTAGACGCTATTAACGCGTTTACTAATAGTAATATAGATAGTAAAGTCTATATTCGCTACCTAAAGGGATTTAGTAAGCTAGAACACTACCTCCTTTTCTTATAGGCCTTATACAGCCTTTATAGATTACTACTACTCTAGTATAGTAAGTTTACTTATATACTAAAAGAACTAGGGCTGTTCCTTATACCTAAGGCAGACTGCCTTTATATAAATAATAAGCTAATAGTCTTCTTTTACGTAGATAATATAGTAATATTATCTAGATAATCTAACTATAACAAATTCCTTTCTTTTAAAACAAAGCTATTTAGTAAATATAAGATATAAGATCTAAAGGAGTTAAGTTAGTTCTTAAGGATAAGAGTAATAAGGGATAGAACAGTATAGTAGATCTAGCTAAGCTAAGATTTGTATATTAAGTCTATTATAAAGAGGTTCTACCTTAATAAAGGTAAAACACTAGCTATACTTATAGCTACTAATAAATTAGTACTATATACAGGTAAAGTAATAGATTAGAAGGTCTTAGCCTACTAGTAAAAAGTAGGCTTAATTCTATACGCTACTATCGTTATATAGCCGGATATAATAAGAGCCGCTATATAGCTTTTTAAGTTCTTAATTAACCTTTTACTAGATTACTACTAAGTAGTAGATAAGGTAATTAGATACCTGTATTTAACAAAACACCTAGCTATTAAATATAAGAATAGAATAGATTTAGAGCAAGCCTTTACTTATATAAGTAACGCTATATTCGCTAATAACCTACTAAATAGACGTAGTACAGAAGGTTACGTATTCTACTTGTTTAGAGGGCTAGTTAACTAGAAATTAAGTAAGTAAAAGACTGTCACTACTTTAAGTATAGAGGCAGAGCTATTAGTAGTAACACACGCTATAAAAGAGCTATATTAGTAGTGTAAGGTATTTGTAAACCTTATATTAGAGTTTAATCTAAGGTTTAAGTACTTTATAAAGGTAGATAATCTATAAACGATATAGCTAATAGAGCTAAGAACACCTAGACTAGCTACTAAGCTTAAGTACGTCGATATCTACTAACACTAGCTAAGGCAAGAGGTAGCTACTTAACGCGTTAAGTTAGAGTAGATATTAACTAATAACATACCGGCTAATAGGCTTATAAAAGCCCTACTATATTAAAAACACTAAGAGTTCGTTAAACAGCTTAAACTAGTAGATATTTAATACTAAATTAGCTAGCTTACGTCGACTAGTAACTAAAGTTACAAGCTAAAGAGGATTAGTAAATTAAGTATAAAAACTAGCTAAAAAGACTACTAGAACCTAGATCTAGACTAAATACGCAGGTTATAGTAGATATATACTATTTTTAGACACTTATTTAATTAATTATTTGATTATTACGTTCGTTAATATATTTATATTAAGTATATAGATAAGAGGCTACTTAGAATAAGTAAATAGCTTTACTATTTCCTAATTAAGAGTAAAATCGTAACTCCTTAAGGAGGTATGTTAGAAACCTAACTGTTAAACATAATAACTTAATTTCCTAATCAGGTAATACTATATTACTAGTAGATTAGGAGTCAGATTTTACTTAGAGTTTAATACAGAGTTTTTACTTTACTACCTACTCTACTATAGTAATAGAGCCTTATTACTACAGATCTGTTATACTAATTTGCTACTATTACCTATATATAGAGCCTCCTTTTTAATCCTAGTTTAGTAGTTTAATTTAATCTAGTTTAATCGAATCCACTCAATTCGCTCCCTTTGATCGATCACTAATTCATTCTATTTGACAACTCTTTAATCGAGTCCTTTTTTCAAATCGAGCCTGTTTGCCTCGTTTGACACCATTACTCTGTACGTGCCCCGGATCGAAAATTTGAATATAGGCACCGGCTTGTCAATAGTATCCGAGCAAGCTATCAATATCAGAGTATGCCATCAGCAGATATTCAAACTTTTGGCCTGGTATTGGGGTTGATTGTATGCTCAAAATTAAGCGAGAACCTCGGCGGGAAGCTATTGGTACGGGGAAGCTCATATTGACGAAGCGAGGCCAAACTCCAACGACCATCTCACCTCTCAGCCCTGGAATTGTCTATCTAAAAATAAACACATCGCTGTGGACATCTATTTTAGTGATTATCACCATGAAACGTCCAATGTCACAGCCTCCTTTGATCCTCCGGGTATTATAAGTTTACTCTGCAACCCTTCTCCGATCTTCCACCCGCCCGAGTTGGCTGCTTACCATTTCATCAACTTTTTCATCAGTAAACCTTGGGCAATTCAGAAAAATGACCTCCATCATAGCAACTGATAAGGAGCTCCACCTCTTGGGCCTCCCCGCCGAGCTCATCTTGAAAATATTGATCCACGCCGTTCTCGCCCGTGGAATTAGGAGAGCTTTGAGATTAAGGCTTGTTTGCAGTATGTCTTGCTCTTCTCAGCCCCGCCACTGCAACTAACAGACTTTGCGCAGAGCGATTTTCCCATGAAATCGAGCCTGCAATTTTTGCATCGCGGCTACTAGACTCCTTCGACACAGAGAGAGTCTTGTCCGAATGGTACATCAAGAACGATCATGGAGCCACCAAGTTCTGGCACTCCTACCTCGTGTACCGAGTTCAAAACGAGATGTCTACGCCTTTTTCTCAGCGCCGCTATCTCGATATCGGCCTCGTTGCTAAGCGTGTTTGTGAAGAAACAGGTGCTGACGTGGGGGCTACAATTGAGACTCTCTGCTGGCCGGCATTGCAACAGGGTACAAATCCTTCCACTAACTCTAAGCTCGAGAAAGAGCCACAGAGCCCTGATCTAGACCTCTTGTGCGCCGCGGCGTACCTAAACCTTATCCCCATAGCGAAACGGCTGCTCCAAGAAGGCCATTCTCCCCACAGTGAGAGCCACCTCTTCTCTTCGCCCATGAAACTCGCTGCATGGGCAGGGAACGCGCAGATGCTTGAGATTTTTCAAGAGCACGTACCCGAGCTGGAAAATCTCGACCCCTTCCTCAGGTTCAATCGCAACTGGAGAGGGAAGGTAGGACCGGCTTCAATCTGCGGGGCCGCGATGAGGGGAGATATAAAGATGGTTCGTCTGGCCATATACCCCCCTTCACGAGCTGCACCAGACAGCACGGATTTTGTCGGTGAAGCATTCGGAACTCTTGATGGCCGTACCAGCATAGGCAATGCGCTTGCTGTAGCGCAATGGGTTACAAGGAATGTCGAGGTGTATAATTACCTTGACAGCTTCTTCTCTGAGCCTCACGACGTATCTGGTGCCTTGGCAAGGCATGCTCATCTGGGAAACCTTGAAATGGTGCGGCATCTTCTCGATTCTGGAGCCGATACACGCGGAGTATCCGCTCGAATTGGAAACCCGCTTGTCGAAGCTTGCCGACGGTGCCATGAAGATGTCGTTGATCTCTTATTGGAACGTGGTGCCGACCCGAATTTTGAGGGACATGAAGACGGAGCGTTTACGGGTAATCCGACTGTTACAGCAGCCGCTAAAGGAAGTCTCGTCATAGTTCGCAAGCTGATTGATCACGGCGCCGACATTGACTACGGGATGGTTGAGGGCTTGGAGATGGGTCCATTCGCGTTGAATGCGGCGGTACTCGTTGAGCATACGGCTATGGTGAAGTTTCTTGTGGCAGCGGGTGTTGATTTAGGAGTTAACGGGGAAGCTCTAATTCAGTTAGCTGCATCACGGGGTCTCGACTCGATGGTTGAAGTACTACGGGGGGAGGGGGTAACTCTCAGCTGATACGAGAGTGCGGGGAATAGGCCGTATGTTTGAGGATCAAATGAAGATGGTTCATAGGAATGTGACGAATGGCGATGGACGAATGGTCTATGAGCCAGACATTTTCAGGTGCGTAGGTTAAACAACCATACTGTCATGAGATAGACAATGGGTATCTAGATTCCCTGGCAATGTTCCTACTATCAACTACCGAATTCCCGGCTGTTGCACGATGATTACCGGATAGCGAGTAGCTTGTTGACTCCCCTGAACCATATGATACCAGGTTCTGACCTGTTACAACTTATATAGCCCATTTTAATCCTTGAGTAATAGTTAGTAGTTAGTGTGATTTAATCCTTTTAAATCTACCTAATTCGTCCCTTTTAATCGATCGCCTAATTCGCTCTATTTGACATCTTAATACTCACTTGTTTCCAGCTTGTAATGTCTTGTAGTCCAATTGCCCTATATCTAATCCAGTTAGTACAAAAAGCTTCTATGACATACTTAACTGCTGCTGTAGTCTATTCAATAATGCCACCATATCAGAGATAATTCTGGCTGGAGGTGATAAGAGCCTCCCTATCACGTGGTTTATTGATTAGGTCAGCCGGCTCGCTTGTGGGTTCCCGGTCGGGCCGGTCCTTAGCCTCTGTCGAAATGCATCTTTTGCCGGCTCAACAACACAGCTTAACAATATAGTCCTGCTGCCGCAGTGCTAAAGCCTTCACTGCACCATGATATTGACCAGCTTGAATTGTTCTTAATCTCGTCTTTCAGTACGGACGCCTGACATCAGTTCATAAGTGCTGACGACACAGGCTAGTCAGTCTGTATGTTCCTTCTGCTGAATCCCAGAAGCCCTCAATATCTCTTTCCAGTCCATATGCCAACCAGACTAGGGGCGTTTGCCAAGTCTAACCAGCTAGCTGACACTCTGTCCGTAAGGTCGTGGAATCCGCCAAACATTAACGATAGCCTGGGAAGAAAGTCGCGACCACGGTCTGGTATCTGCGATATCATGCGTATTGAGTGCCGCCTCCCGCGTCAAAATATCATTGTTATATTCTCTTTGTCGGTTCCCGATAAGACAATCTTTGAATCCAAGAACACGCTCTTTGGACGCAAGCTCAAGTCAACAAGCCCTCCTGACATCGGTGCAAGCTTCACAACATATTTCAACTTGCTCGATGACTGCTTGGGTGCGATGGATATTATCATGGCGAAGGCCCGTGGCCCTCTTAGCTTGGCTCGCTGCTACAATAAACTGGCTCCGCGGCAGTCATAGGGATAAGAATCTGGTGGAGCAGGATAGGGAGAGTGGTCAACAGGCCCCTGGAGAAGCCGGATACGGAAATCCTAAAGAACATCTCGGACCAAAGACGCACGAACTCCAATTCCCATTATCCTATTTATTTTACTGACATTTTACAGCACCCTCGGAGCTACAACTTCAAGTAATCTACAGGAAGCGACCAAGGCTGACGAGGATAGGCCTGGCTTTGAAGTTTTACGAGTAAGGATAAAAACACATCACAAAAAGGTAACTTGCTTACTATAAGGCAGTTGGACACCTACAACAGCGAACAAACTGATTCTCGCAGAGATGTTATCTCGGGTGGGAGCACAGGCTTGATCTATCTCCTTCCTTCTGGGTATGTGCGAAAAGCAGCTTACCCAGGTATGACTAGAAAACAAAGTCTTCGGGATATCGAGCACGAGTACAAAATATATCAGAGATTACCGCCTCACGATCGTCTCCTGAAAATGATGGGCTACTCTAAGGAAGACGGCCTTATTCTGGAATACATGCCAAACGGCAATCTGAGAGAATATCTACAGGATAAAGCCGCAGACTTGAGCCTCCACCAACGACTTCAATGGGCGTGCGATGCTGCTGAAGCACTGCACCTTGTCCATTCACACAATGTCATCCACTGCGACGTGAAACCGGAAAATTTTCTGTTAGACCATAGCCTCCGGCTTCGGATAATAGATTTCTCGGGCTCGTCTATTGACGGATCGTATTTTTCGGCGGTTGAAGGCGCAAGATTCTGCCTTCCTCGCGCCTGGGAGGCGCCCTCGACGGTTGTGACAGACGTGTTCGCACTGGGCTCAACTATCTACGAGATTATGACCGGTACGCAACCTTACGCCGAGCATACAGATGAGGAGGTAGAGGTTTTGTTTAAGAAAGGGATATTTCCAGAAGTGGACGGTATACCCTGTGGAGAACTAATCAGGAGGTGTTGGCACAGTCAAGTTCATTCAGCCGCGGAGGTACACGTGTCAATCATGACTGAATTACAGAAAATCTGAGAGATGAGGCTCTTTGGGTAGATCTAACCATTTCGATAAGAGTCCAACTGTCCAAGAATGACTATGACCCTTCAATAATGCCTTTTCAACAGATGCGATAGGAGGCTCCCGCCTGATTAAACGCTGGGGTTATCGTTTCTGCGCTCTGCCTATGGGTCTACCGAGAATACCCCTCATCATTGCACACAGGGCAATCGTCCCTCCTTCTTGACGAGCCGACTTCCTTTTCCTTAAGGTCAATTCCTGTGCAGTCCGAACCACGACTCTCTGCGGTGGTGCATCTTTTGATTCGAATGAATTGTTTGGCTCGATGCCCGCATCTGTAGATGTACTCCGAAATTTCCTTGTTACACATTATGTATATCTGTTGGGGTTCGCTGGGATTGACGTAGCCGAAGAAGTTGGAGGAGTTCGGGCTGAGGTCCTAACAAGGTCAATTCAACACGTATGGAAGATGGAATCAATCACGTACAATACACCGATATTTGGTCTGAGCTTTAGATTATTGGCATAGGGACTAACTAAAAGCCTGAATAGTGCCAGAGCGGATCCTTTATAACATGGTGCCGTGCACCCCATTTTTGCGAGGTATCGAATGGCACCACAATCCAATCAAGTCTCTATTGACTACACCTGAGTCTTGGTTGCCAACTGCCACGTCACGACGCTCATGTAAAGTTAATCACGTGAGTTCGATCAGGGGATGTCAATGCTATTGGCGTGAAGTGACAAGGCAGGCTCTACGGAAAGGGATCGCCAATGAATGCTCTGGCAGCCTGGCAGGAATGTGACCGGTACCGACTAAACGGCAATTTGTACAAAAAGATGTTGAACTCGGGACGAGTCACATTGGGTCCAGAACAGTGTATGCTCAAATGACTAATTACAGATGTCAAAGACAATTAATCTAAGCCATGAGCTGCAACCCCAATTTGCAAAGTCACAAGTCTCCTTAGACGTGAGTTTTAGGGATTTTGTGTATTATGCTACGCTACAGGAGATGGCTAATAAATACAGTATTAATGGGCTCTAGAAATACCGCCCTTTATGATTTGCTGGCAATCGGTGTCTACCTCGGCAGGACGTTGGTGTCGTACAGGTGACAAGGTGGGCAAAAAGTCTTGCGATATACTGTTCAACTTGTCAAGTCACTGGTTGGCGCCGTGGTGAGTTAGGGAGCATAAGAGCTTTCTTAATCACACCTTTAGCTTTTATGTGCCAACCACGCCATAGAGATAAGAAGTCTCGAATAGTGATAGCATGCTAACATCCAGTCTGTCAGCGTGTGTGTAAGGGGAATTTCGTGGCATTTTGCCTAATCTACTCACTCTACTCTTACTAACGTTTGTTTATTTTATATATCTACCTTATTCTTTTTTAAATTTGTATACGTGTACACTATAAGCAAGGAAGAACATTAAGATAGATTATAATCAAGAGTTCTAAACAAGACATCTTATACTTTTACCTACTTACGAATCACGACAAGTATTAGCGAATCTAAATCTTATAATTATTACTTAGTTCTATAGAAGACAACAACTAGAGACACTTACACACCTTAAAACCTAGCCTTAGGATGGTTAATTTTCATTGCGAAAAACAATATCCGTTAAGAACCAACCTTTGTCGTAGAAAGTTATTATTCGCAATGATAATTTGTTGTGGAAAGTTAAAGTTCGCAACGATAATGCATCATGAAAATTATTGAATGCACCTCTGTCGCCCTGTAATCCTTGACCATACTCAAAAAGAGGAACATACACCAAAAGTCCTGCACGTCCTAGTTGCAATTTCCACAGATAGACATCTGAGGGATGCTGTTCAATCCCGGAGCTTGAAGAGACCGCTCGATCTTTTGAACGAGGCCCACGAGGAAGCCTAAGGGGCGACTTGATTCGAGTTGCGATGCTGCCATGGTTAGAGATCCTTAAAGATGCGTAGCGAGGTAACAAAGTTGTAGATGAAGTGTGAGTGGTTTCCCAGGGTGATGCAGAGGCATCTACCCTTTCGTAGCTGTGATTCTCATAAGATAGATAGTGGTTTGAAGGATCTTTTATACGTGTAGAATAATTAGGAGGGGGGGGGGGTAAGCGAGAGGGATAGGGGGTGTACGGGAGATTGTTTGGATTGGTTTAGAGAATCAAGATATCTTAATTATTGATCTGGAGATGATAATTGAAAGACTGAGAAGGTTATCGAGAAATATATTATTTCGAGATTCACTCCGAAGTGGAGTGAGTAAGGATGTAGAGAGGAAAATTCCTAACCAAAACCACATCTCATCCTCCTCTCCTCTCCAGAAACCAAATCTTGTACAGAGATAGACATTCAAAGAAAAAAAGACATACAAGGGCATCGGCAATAGAGAGAGATGCTATCCTCTACATCATTACAACCCTTCCTCCTCCTCCTTTCCATCCTCCTCTACAGCTCCAAAACCTCGTATCTTCGAATCGCGGGCCGCGACTTGGCGATTATCACAGGAGCTCAGATCATACAGCATGATGCATCGATCTTACGATTCTCGGTGTCCTCGTCCTCGTCCTTATCCTCGTCCTCGGTGTCGGCTTCTATCAAATATATACCTATACCTCGAAGATGCCACCACCACTCCATCAACAAGCCTCTTCAACGCCCCGTCTCCCCCCAACAATCTTCTCCCACCTAATCATCCAACATCCAACAACCCCGCTTTCGCAATCCCGTCCTCTCAACCTCCCTTCCCGACTCCTGACGCTCGTCCTGACCATCTTACGCATCGTTTTCTTCCTCCCCCTCGCCACGCTCGTCTGGATCCGTGGCGCGTTTGGCATCTGTGCGCTGCATTGGAGGAGTAGGGGGTATGGGGTTTGGGTGAGGGCATTGCATTGATCTTGGGACCGGCGCTGGCTGGTGCGTGATATGCTGGTTAATATTGTTATGTAAGGTATGTGCTGCTGATTTTGCCGGTGGTGGGGTGGTTGGAGGCGGTGTGGATTTGGTGGTGGGGAGGGGGGAGAGTGAGGAGATGGAGGGAAGGGGGGAGTGTGAAGGATATGAAAATGGGGAAGAAAGGGAGAGGGGGAGAAGAGGGAGCGAGGTGATTTCGGAGTTGGATTTTAATGCTGTTGAAGAGAGAGAGGGAGCTAAGAATGTGAAAGAAAGATAGGTTGAGGGGATAGAGGAAGGGAGATGTTAAAGACATGGAATGGGAGGTAGATGGAGTTCGGGTTGCGTATGATGGGAACTTGATGGCCTGGTCATAGGCTGCGCCTAACATCTGTAAGATTTTTTCAGAGTCAGAGGGGCTCTTCGTGAGGGGGAGGAAAGATAGATAGGATTATGGCATCAATCCAAGTTCTGATCTACTCGAATCCCAACACAAAGCTCCCACAGCGTCGATCTGGCACAATGTGTAGTAGAGATGCCACCAATGCCCCAGGGTCATGTATAATCTATCCTGTCCATTTTCTATCTCAAAAAGGTCAAAGCAGCAACAACCATCGCATCAACTCCTGTCGACATCGTAGGTTGGATCACCGGCGCAAAATACGCACTGTGATTAATCGGAATCCCATCCGTATTTCCCACCTTCTTGGCCTCTTCAACCATCGCCGGATCGGTTCCTCCAAACCACCAATAGCTATACGGGACTCCCTTGCCACCGCTCTTATTCGGGGCTTCCGTAGCCAAGATGGAGAAATCTTCCGACCCTCCCAATGGCGCCGAATCAGTCAGGTGCTTGTCGCCAAACTGCTTCGTGAAGGCTTCCGCCAGCGTCTCCGTAACCTCCTTATCGTTGGTCGTGAAGGGGAATTCGCTGATGCGTTCCCACAGCGGCTCGGCGGTAGCTCCGCTGGCTTCGCATTCGGCCTTCACAATCCGTCTGATGGCTGCTAGCACCTTCTCCCTCGTTTCCGGCACCACGGTTCGCACGTTGAGCTTGATGCTCGCCTCGCCAGGGATGATGTTCTCTGCCATGCCGCCCTGGACGTTACTCACTGTCACCACGGCCGCATCGGCTGGGTTCACCTCCCGAGCAACGATGCTCTGTAGCCGCACGATGATGTGTGCCGCCATGACGACCGGGTCAACTGTTCTATGGGGCTGGGACGCATGGCCTCCCCTTCCGTAAACCGTCACTTTGTAACTATCCGCAGCGCTCATGAAGGGTCCAGCCTTGGTCCCGACAAAACCAGCTGCAAAAGGCATGACGTGTTGGCCCAGCACCACATCAGGTACAGGACAAGCATGCCTCTCCGGATCATACAGCCCATCCTCAATCATGGCCCTCGCACCCCCAGCACGCTCCTCGTTCGGCTGGAAAAGAACGACGAGCGTCCCCTTCCACTGTTCCCGCGCAGCGTGGAGCGTCTCGGCAACGGCGAGCATGCACGCGATGTGCATGTCGTGCCCGCAGGCATGCATCGTGGGCTTCTCAATCCCATCCTGCGCGTCCACTTCCCGAGCCTTACTGGCGTACGGCAAGCCAGTCAGCTCTTCGATAGGCAACGCATCGGTATCAGCTCTCAGAAGAACCGTCTTGCCCTCTCCATTCTTCAGGATCCCCACGAGGCCCGTGCCGCCGATGTTCGTGCGGACATCGAAGCCCTCCAGGCCTCGTAGGTGCTTCGCCGCGGTCTCGGCAGCGAGGTATTCCTGTAAGGAGAGGCCGGGATGCTGGTGCAGGTTCTTGTATATCGCTTCGTAAGTGGCGAGGTCGGGTTTCCGGGTCGACAGGATGGTGGAGATGTCCATTGTGGGTTTCCCACCTCAATTGCCCGTTAGCAGACGGTGCTTTGGGATTGCAATTGGGAGAGGCGTACTTATTTCGATCTCTGCGACTCGTGCTTTCAGCCACTCCTCCAGTGGCATATCGAGAAGACCCGTCATGGCGAACGTTGGCCTCTTATCAAGTCCCAGAGAGTGGGATGTTCGTATTAAGTCAATGGAATCCCGTGATGGGTCGCCGGTCACGTGATGACGGAGGATTTAAATAAAGAGACGACTAGTATGGATTGAGCTACAGAAACACTTGTATCAGAATGATCTCGATGTACTCCTGTACATTCATAGTGATAAATGACAAAATAATACGATTCGCTTCAGCCGGGGAACATGCCAGGATCAGTCCGGGTTCCCCTCTGCTCGACGCAGGTACCTGAACCCAACGCGCCAACATGTTGGTTTCGGCAACGAATGAAATCCAGAGATTTTGGCACCGACAAACAACAGGAAAAGCTGATCGGCAAAGATGAAGGGATCCAAGGGATCTCCTGCCCCGTGCCGCCCGCATGTAAAATTAAAACATGTTGGATAAAGAAATTGCTTGTTGTCCAGAGGAATGTCAAGGTATGGAAGATGGTGTATATAAAGTCGCCCCGGATTCTTTGAACCTTTGATACTTTGCTTCATCCTGTCAGTCATTCATTACCTATCTATCCTACAAGCCTCGATCAACGGAGCTCCTCCACATCTCCTTTCAATACGCATTTGCAAAGTCAAGCAACACAGTCCTTACCACATCTCCCCTCCCCAAGCACACAAGAATGAAGCTCTTCGCTCCTCTCCCTGTGCTGGCCCTCCTCTGCAGTCTCGCAGCGTCAGCACCAGCACCCGTACCGGAACCATACAACTACTGTCCCTACGCCAACTTCAACTACTGCGATGTCGACAGCAATTACATCGTCTGTGTGAATGGGGGCCCGACGTTCTTCACTTGCACCGGGGGCTGTCAAGAGACCTGCGTTGAGAACCAGCCATGTACCCCACGATGCGACAACGGCCAACCTACATCACCCCCCGTGTAGAGGGTAGAAGAGAGCGACACGGTGGAAATACTGGGTTTCTAGGAACATTGTATTTATGGGAGCGATTGGTTTCGAGGAGCGATTGATTTCTGGGAGCAATGTATCTCTGGGAGCAATGGATTTCTAGGAGCGACGCGCAAGGGACTTAAAAGATCCGGGGCGGGCAGAAGCAATATCACTACAAGGGGTTCTAATGTATCGACGACGAGGAGAATTCACTTCTTTACCACCAAGCCTTTGATTTGTACTGTATCCTGCATCACCATTTTATCTGAAAACAAATCCAGTAAATCTAGATTGTAGTCTCGAAGCTCTATGCTATCTTCCAAGGTCGAGGTAGAGAAAGAACCCTTTGCCTGTTCTCAGAGCAATGGACGAGCACTTATTCTCTCCCATCTTTCCATGCTGCACCATTTTCCGAAATACTTTTGATAAAAACAACCCCTTTAAACCCTAACTCCGTATTCAAATCACAGATTAACATCTAAAACCCTAACACCGTATTCAAAACACAATTCAACATCTCTCCCTCTAAATCTCAATCAATCAAAAACCCCAGAATTACGAAACCAGGCTAGCGCAATCCATGAATAGATACGAACCGAGGTTAGCGCGGGGGTCGCTTATTTATGGCTCCCGAGGAGACGTCGAAATAGAAGAAACCAGACAGATTCGTTCCTCTGAACCACATCGATCGCGGACAACCATCTTCGAACCGTATTCGCGATTTGATAATTGGGCGAGGAGATGAGACGGCGCCGCAGGATGGTCAATACATCCTCTAGAGCTGCAGGTAAGACCCGGAATTGGGCGGTTTCTTCGGTGTTTAGGGGCGAGTGAGGCACGAGGATGTATTGCGTGGTAGGTATATGATGTGAAGGTAGACAGTATGGGAATTGGCCTGCCTGACTTGTAAGTCCTGGATATAAATAAGGATTGTGTTTCCCCCTCTTACTGTCTGTCATCTTCACTCTCCTCCTCGGGGAAAGAAACACTCCTTTCCATCCCAAACACACCACACCCCATCCACAAGCGCCCCAATATCCCCCCCCCC